TCTCCAGGTTCACTGGACCATGAACAACCAAGAAGGATTTCAGATTTAATTTTTAAAAACGGCTCTTGGTTAGGTAGGAGGATGATGGGGCTAAAAGACTATGGCTTGTTATTGATGTTATTTCAGGCTGGGACAGACTGTCAAAAATCCCAGATAAGAAGAGGGAGCAAGTTTTCTAGGTGCATAGTACAATTCTAACTTTCTGTGTCAAAGAAGGACTTTTTTGTCACTTACCTATGGAGCAGCATATCAACGAGTAGAGAGGGATTCTAAATTATAGGGGTGACCACTGAAAGTTTACCCAGCCCAGAAATTTCACAGAATATATTGAGTTTGTTTTATAAAAAAATTTCCAGTCTTATCAGCTTAGGAGTAGGGAAAAATTTGGGTGAACATCAACAGGATACCAAACAAAGATGCAGATGCTGGCTATCAGCAGAATTGGTTCTCTCCTCTGATGCCTCAAATACCAGGGGGCCATGCACTAACACCCTCAGTGTACATTTCTTTTATGACAGTCACTGAAATGTATGATCCAATGCTTTCATGCAAGCTACTGTATAACAGTATAAACACTATAATGGTGAGAGAGTTAACAAAGAAAGAAGTATATGTAGTGATATGCGCTCAGGCTTACTATGCCTATAATGGTAGCTTTGATTTTGTGTTTAATAATCAGTTAATCATGAGTTGCATGTTTGGTTTCCCCTGCCTCAATTCTGTCTCGAGTCATACAGGGACCTACCTGAATTGTGGTTTTGCAGATTTTACAGAAACCACAAAATCCCGTATTGCCTGCAAAGTCTGTGGGGAAAAAAAATTAATAAAAATAAGTTTTTATTAAGTCTTTTCCCTCTTGGGTGGGTCTCGCAAATGATAGTGGCTGGACATCACAGACAAGATGGTGGCAGGCCCTCCTCCCTCCTTTTCCCCCAGGGGCCTCTCCACCAATCAGTGCTGAGAATCAGGGTCACTGTGAAATGCCCACATAATGGGCTCTTCATTCTGGGATAGAACCGGAAAAATGTCTGTCTCACGGTGAGTTAAGTAGGTCCCTAGTTATACCTGATACGTTTCCTGAAGGAAAGGTTGGCAGAGGCCAGAGAGGACCAGAAAACAGCTTGGTTTCCACATGCAACTAAAATCCTGCTGCACATAATATTCTCCATAATTAAAATGTCATTGGCTATATCACAGAAATTCCTTCCTCTTTATGATATAGTTTCCTACTCTCCACTTGTGTAGATTTGAGAAGTTATTAATCCCTGTATGGAAGCAGGTAAAAATCTTTGAACAAATATACATCCACATACAAAACAAAGGGATATTCAAGAACACTCAAGTATTGACATGCTTTGGATATTTGGGCTTTCTCTGGGTGTTTTGAGAGCAGATATGTACATGTGGAAGGGGAATTTATCAGGTTGAAAAGGAGGGGAGATATAAATCAAACACTATCTAGGAAGAAAGCCTGACAATCTGAGCAATCCTAGTAGTGTAGGGGAAAGGGACAGAGGGATGTTTAGTTCTGGGGGGGCAGGGAAACCATGTCTTGTTGGGGCCTTCCTGCTTTCAAGAAAGCTTGTACATTTTTACATATAAGCAGAATTGCATCAAAGACACCTGGCTCCATCATCAGTTTCTTCTCCTAACTGGAACAACCTAAAAGAGCCTGACTATTTTGCTGAAAGACGTCTGTTTTTGAAACATGCATTACTACAGCATTTTTGTTGTAAGACGCTGACCTAGTAAGGTAGAGTCTATTTCTACTCTACATAGAGCTGAATATTGTTTGCATAAATTATCAAGGGCTGCATATACATATTCTAATAATCTGGGAGACTTCTCCCAGGTTTGCTCTCCTGGTAGAGAAACTTACCCAGAGTCACGTATACAGACATGAATGTTGAGGTTCTTAAGAGTTTGCAGTGCTGACACTGCAGTCAAGGAGGGAGCTCTGAACACGGGAGCTCTGCAATATCTCTTATTCTGCCTGGCAACAGGTGGCAGCAGTGCATAGGGCAGCCCTGATTGGCTGACCAGACTGCCCAAGATTAGCCTGTTTCCTTTGCACACAGTATAGGAATTGTGAAGGGGGCATATTCTGTTCCCTACTGGTGCAGCAGAGTCCAGCGAGTGACACAGTCTCCCTTGCTGGGGAGGGGATGCTGGGGGACTATGCTGTCTTCTGTGAGAAGCCACAGCATGTAAAGACTTTTGTCTCCCAGGAGAAACTCTCTTGGGATTAATTTAACCCATGTTATTCCCAGGCTATTTTTCTTCTGAAGCAGCCATTTTTACTCTGGGAGGAAAAGCCTGAACATCTGGTCATTTGTAGTTTCTCCTGAGAGACAAATGACTTTCCCTGCAGAAACTGAATGTCTGTATGAGAAGGCTGAAGCTGGCAATAGGACCTCTCATATGAAGAGTGTAAGTGGAGGACCTGCCTGTTACTTATATTGTACAGTTTAATTCAAATAAATTCTTTGAGGTCAAGCATAATGTTCTTAACTTATTCAAAGCCTAACAAATATGCAATACTGCTTTCTTGATGGTGCAGTAATCCCTAGACTTGCACCAACAGAGAAATGTACTCTCTTACATAGTAAGTGAATTTCAGGAGAAACAGCTTCCTAAACTCATAGACATACTTTTACCATGCAAATAATACAGAACATTCAGCTGTGATAAATCAAAATGAGGAAAAATCCATTTCATTGGGATAATTTCATAAATTTATATTGTTTTAATTCAGCATGGTCATGAACATAAATCTCCTTAAAAGAGCCAGAAAAAGACGTACATGTGTGTGCATGCACATACAAACATTGTTTTTAGAGATGTGGTTGGTTACTTGTATTAAGAATTATTAATCTATAAGACTGGAAGTACTTAAAAGACCTTTGTATATTTTGAGTGATTGACTGGCTTGCTCCTTTAAAAAAAAAAAAAAAAAAAAAAAGTGGTGAAAGGAAATCTTCTGTTGTTGTAAAAATGTAAAAGTAACGTTTTTGGCAGGCCACTTCAGGTGATGTCATCCTGCAGAATGTGTTAAAGTCTGTTATTTTCCAGTGGGAACTGATTTCTCAAGGCAGGCAGGGTCTATGGGCACTTAGTATTGCTCTCAACTTTAGCCAACTAAGATCTGTGCATTTTTACACCTCATTTGGTGGTAATAATGTATGCACATTTTTAAACCTGGGACCCAAATACCTTTTCTTATATAATATATTTTTCTTATGTAATACTTATTTACATGTTATTTTGGGTAGTGGAATCATTTGAGTAGTATCTATTGTTAGGGTCCATCTTTCAGACTAGGTAAAGGAACAATAGTTACCAGTAATGAGTATTGTGTGGTGTGCCAGATTTTGGCAAATAGGAATACAAAATACAGCTTTATAAGGAGCATTGCTTTTCTTTGAGTTAGTGTGTCTTTGCAGGTTGCCAATAGCTTTTGAGGTGACAATTTCTTGCTGGTTTTTTTTTCCCCAAATTCTTGCTAATACTTACTCAATAGATTAGTACAGTAGTAACAATTTACATGCTAACTTTTTTGGCTCTAAAAGCTCTGTCTCAGATCTGAAATGCATTAACTCTGCAGTTTACTGAAGTTTAGAGTAATGTGCTTTATAATATGTGAAGTATTAAATACAAAGGATTACATTCTGTTGTAATTATCCAAGAGGGAGCCTGAATTAGATTGGCTTTGTAAAGCTGAAGGATTGTTCAGTTAAGAAACTGTAAATTCATTAGTGTATTTGAAAGGGGAATTTATTACTTTCTGAATTAGTACTATTTTGCTACTAGCTGCTCTACCCCATTTCCCAGGGCCACTGAGCCTAGTCTTATAGTATTGGTATTAAAAAAAAAAAAAGAGAAAAAAAAGAAAGGACCCAATAAATAATAAAGGATACAGAAGGGCCAGACTTTGTTTTCTGTTCTGCTGGAGTGATTTTGTTGATTTTATTGGCATTACCTGGAATTTATTCTGGTGTAATCAGAATAAATTATTTTGCCAGAATCTCTAAACAAAATTTATTTTGACTATAAATATGATGCTCCAGGTTTAGATTCAAATTCCTGTTAAAGTAGAAGCTATTTCAATTCCCTACCTTTTGTTTTGGATTCCAAGGTCTCTTTCTGGAAATAAAAACTGTACATTATCAAAACGAGTTACCTGTATTTTACTAATGCCCTTATTTCTTTTATACCATACATGTATAATGAGTCGCTTCCAGTTCAGAACCTTACTCCATCAAGTGTAAAGGTGGCACAAACAGGCCTTATGATTTTGAAATCTAAAAATTATATAACGTTACAGTTACTTTTCATTTTTCTTTTTTTTTTTACTTTTCATGCTCAAGGTGAGCATGATATTACAGTAGCCTATGGAATTACATTTTGGTTTCTAATAATATTTAACTTGTTCTTCCCTTCTGAGCATTTCAGGCACTTTATAAGTGAAGCTCTTTCTCTCTCCTAGGACAGACTAGCCAGTTTTATGCCAGTTTTAAATTTATATCATTTTAAACTGTCCTGCTGAACTGAAGTAACTCTTTCATCTGACTGCTCCTAGTCTGGTAGACGTGAAGCTAAACCAGTAAAATTTTAAATCTATTTCTTTCAAGTTTAGAGTCATAGTAATCCAGTATATCAGTACAGGGCCAGACAGATGAAGCAGCTGCATCACTTCAGCTGTGTGCCCTTAAGCAGTTAGGCCCACACCCTTTTAAAACACTGCATTGTTTCATCTATCTGGTCACTTCTATTTCCACTTATGTACCAGCACAAGGTTATTTTTTGGAATGTATAGTACTGTAAACGGATGCTTTTAATCCATCCAGAAAAAAACTGTTTGATGTAAAGTATTTAGAAAGAAAAACAGTAAGAATTTACCAAATTTTGCTCACAGAGAAAAGATTTCACAACACCTATTTGTTCACTCTAAGCTTAGTTGATGTTATTCTAAGATAACAGCTCTTTACTTTGTATTTTAGAAATAAATCTATCCCGGGACTGAGAGCAATTGTTTGGAAGATTTTTATGAAGAGGTAAATTGTCTTGTTTGCTATGACTCCATAGAAGAATAGCTACTTTATTACTGGCAGATATAATTTATCATGGGTCTAACACATACCATTTTAAGACCATTTTCAGTTGTTCATAACGTTGCCAAATTTTAACCTTTGGGTGGAAATTTTCCATACCGGTTGTTTCCTTCAAATTTGTACCCCTCACCCCAACTTTGTACCTAAAGCAGTCTACCTGTTTCTGGGAATAAGACTAGAAATAAATGCATTGATTTACAAAGTTGCATTCCGATTCTGGTCATATTTTTTTAGAGAAGTTTTGGCATCGTTACTATTTGATAAATGGACTGGAAATTTTGCAGGTGTGTGCAGTTTGGATTAGGGATATGACTTTGGTTGTTTTGATGAAAATCTTCCCAAATTTGGCCAAACTTTTGGAGACAATTCTTAGTTTTCACAATCTCAAAAGCGGTTTCTTCGGCTGCCTATAGACTCACGTGCTAATTAGGAGGTGTCGGAGTAGACTTGATGAATCAAGTCTGCTCTGCATTCTAATTGGAACACTCCAGCATTGTCTCACTGTCATGTGTATTAAGCTCCCATGTGTTTCAAACTAGCTGGGGGGCGCTTTATTTAAACCTCGTTGAATGAGCTTTAGATAAAGTGTCCCATGGCCATTTTGGAACACTGCAGGGAGTAATACATGTGAGCGGCTGACCAGGAACCACTCTGATTAAAATGCGCTTCCCCCCCTCCTCCCCCCTCACCCCAGAACACATGTATAGGCAGCTGTAGAGTATAGCAGCTCGAATAATTGACTCCAACTTTGAGCATGCTCCATTACCTCACAATTCCCTTATCCCAGTCTTCACTTAGTCTCTCTTCCCATTCCTCTGCAGTCCCAGATCCTTTTCCAAATCTATTGCTTTCCCTCTCCCCAGCTCCAGTTTTCTCTGGGGTGCAGTAACAGTGGCATAACTAGGGATGGGTGAGCATGGATTTAGAAGGGACACCACAATGGTTGTCCTTGAAGAGTCTGTGTTGTGGCAGAAGGGAAGACTCTCCAGTGTTCAGCAACTCTGCCCCTCCGCTCCCCAGCACGTGCACACACACGCGCGCACACTCGCCTGCACGCACACTAGTCACCATTCTAGGGTGTCAAAATTCCAAATTATGCCTCTGGCCCAGAATGTGCATGGCCATTCCCTACAGAGAAGCTGAGCACGCTCCTCCTCAGGACCAGATGAGCAAACCCAGATTTTTTTTCCTGTATTTGCAGTTCTCAGCTGCTCTGGGACAGGGTGGGGCTAGATGCTGAAGTCAGAACAGGGAGCTTGCCTCTTCTATCCTCTCATTTATTCCTCTGTTGGTGCCCTGGCAGTGTGGAGGAAGGGCTGCGTGACTACACAATGGGACAATACACAAGCAGCTGGACCTAAAGAGAGGGAAAACAATGGATTTGAACAAGGATCTGGGACTGGAAGGGAATGGGAATAGAGACTGAGTGGAGACTGGGAAAGGAGACTGCAACTTGGTCAAGGAGCCAGGGGTAAGAAAGAGAATTGAGTCTCAGTGGTGGGAAAAAGACAGAAGTATCAAAGCCAGGGAGGGAATAGGAAAAAGGCCTTTAACAACTACAGTGCACGTTTCCCTCCAGAGACTGGAACAGGACCCAACTTCCCCGAGTCTCACCCTTCCTCTGCTGTCAGCAAATATTTGAAAACTGCTGGCCCTGTGCATGTCTCATCACCCTCTGATGGGCCCACATAGGTGATGACTACCTACTACTGCTATCAGTTACTGTGTTAGCTCAAACAGGAGAGGTTTGTGTGGTAGATCTAATAGTCTGAACTCTGTTGGTGAATCACATGGGTGACAACATGATGCTGCATAATTTGAATTTCTATTTTTTGTCACACAAAGGACTACTTTAAATTTATCGACATTGCAAAACTGAGTGCTTTCAAGGGAAGAAATGCCAAAACAAAGGCTGCCTGTTGCTTTAATTCAGCCCCCCTTGCACATGTGGGTTATGAGGCAGTCTTCCATTACACAGTCACAAACTTTTTTTTCCCCCCTACAAGATCCCAGCTTGATTCAGTACACAGGATGAATCTGCTCTGAGTTATTAACCAGAGCATATAGTGAAGGGGTCTGTTTTCTGTAGGACCTCTGCTTTTTAGTCACAGGATCTGGAGATATATAATAATTGAGCAGGAATTGGTATAAAGTGAGAGGATCATCCCTGGATTCTATAGAGTTCATTTCTGATCCGGGATCACAAGAACCAAACTACCTGGATGTCAGCCTTCAGGCTTCAGAGTCTAACCCACAGAATCTGTGAGCACTAATTGCTCCAAGCAAAGCCAGTGGGAGCTGGGTTGTGAACAGGTATTATATGAAGCACTCTGAAAAATCAGGTTCTAGGCATCTCAAATTGGGTACTCAGAAATTACTGAACACTTCTGATTCTACTTTTTTTGCTATGCCTCCTTAAAAATAGGGATAATATCACTCCTCATCTTTAAAAAGGAAGTTGTGAAGGTGAATTAAATGTATGTGAAGTTATAGAGATGAAAAATATAGAAAAGCCTACAAGAAATTCATATTTCAGTGCTCCAAGCAGGGTTTGAATAGTGCAGAATAAGGAAGATCTAGAGCTACATGTTGAATAAAGATTTTTTTTTTAAAAAGTTGGCTAGCTTCTCATTAATTGAGCACCCTCCATCCTAGGCACTGAATGAAGCAGGCATTCTGTACAATAAATGCAATCATATAATTAAAGACTGGAGCATAATCCATATTCACAAAGGGATGAAATTTAATGTTTCACAAACAAATTTAACTCTGTGATTTCCTAACTTCATAGTGCTTGAATTTTTCAATGAAAGGAATGTTAACTCTTAGCTTTTTGTGTATGATAAAAACATTTGTGTCTAAGGACCTTGACCATGCAGTCACCTGAGCAGTGGTAGAGCCTTAATTATATTGTATGTGCTTCAGACAGGAACAGTGTAGTCTCATGTTTGTACAGTAAATGCAACAATGGTGTACATGCAATGTTAACTTTTTCTGTAGTTTGTTTTACAAAATCGGGCTTGCTTTTATCTCTTGTGCTCTGTCTGTGAGTAAAAAAACAAACAAAACCAAACCTGTGCATGCTTCTCCCCTTCACTGTCCTCACCATTCTTAAGTAGATTTTCTATTTGGGGCATTTGTTTTAAAGATTCCTGGTTCTTTTTCCTCTACCTCATTTTCCCTTGCTCAGTCTGTTTCTGGCTGATAGTATCCTCCAACTTCTGCAATACACTTCCCTTAGGACCTAGGGACAGAAGTTACACATCAACAGGTATAAGTGATCAGAAACTGGTTCAGATCCATAACAAAAGAAATTCAGTACATACAATCACTTTATGTCTGGAACTGGTTTAAGATGAACCTGGATGGATGCAGTATCAGACTTAACTGATTTAGGTTAAATCAGTTTATTGAACTGCTGTCCCAGATCCCCTCCAGATTCAAGTTAACTCACAGATCCCCAGTATCCCAGGATGCTTTGCACTTACCTGCAATCCCCACCTTGCAGGGTGGGTGGGCTAGCATTGGCCCAAACTGTCTGCTCCAGCTCTAGCACTCCCCTAGCTTCTGGCCTGGGCCACTTCAAGCATGTGACTGCATTTCGGGAATCAAAATGAATGTCTGTTCACTTGCTTATCAGTTCAGTCTATGCAGCTTAGACTAACCTGAGAAGATTGAATCAATTCAGCCTCAGACTTTTTGACCGTACTTATTTTTGGTCACTAGACCTGAACAACTTATACCCAGTGCAGAGAGCATATATCCTTTCCTTTTCTCTGAAACTTGCAATCTGTCTTTGGAAAAAAAAAAAAAAACCCAACTGTTTTTGGCTTTATTTTTCTGCATTACATCTTTCCTCTTTCTAATGACCTTTTTTTACCCAGTTTTGTCTGCAGGAGCTGATTTCCCCTCAGCAGCAGTCAGGCCATTATTCTAAGAGCTTATCTCTGAATGGAAGGCTGTTCAGATAACTAACTCTTAGGGCATGTCTACCCTACCCAAAAGGAGGGCAAATTGACCCGTGTGTAATTTTGTGATGCTGCCACTGCACCCAAGTACATTTATGGTACACAGCAAGGTATTTCTGGTTTAAGAGATGTTTGATGCCAACCCTGGTAGTATATATCCAATTTAATAGCATTTGAAGTATTATATTATATGGGTTCTCATTGATTTTATTAAATTGGTATAAGTTGCAAAGAGGGAACAAAAAAGCACAGACCCACTTTCCATTTATGTTTGGAAAATTTTTCATGGTTTTATTCCTCCCTGCTCCTATCCTCCTGTTGAAATCTAGCATATACTGAGAACCAAGCTCTTAGTTTAAAAAAAAAAAAAAAAGGTTCTCAGGGAATGAGAAGTGGTGTTAACTATCTCAATGTCAACAATTTTTCCCAAGATGGACCTCTTAAAGGTCAGTGTTTTTAGCAAAAAATGTTTTGAGTATGTCTCTTAATCATGCTAGCATTTTAAATGACTCCAGTCCAGCTGTGAAGTTGAACTTCATTAAGATGCATTAATTTGGGAGCAGTAAGCCTCTATTTCATAATAATATTTCTTAGCTATTATATCTATGGTAGAAGAGCATTAGGGCATCAGCTCACACTATGGTGTCTGTATATTTGAAAAAATATTTTAAAATTATTATAGTTTAGAACTTGAATGGCCAAAATTAAATTGCCACAAGAAACTGTAGAGAATTCTCTGATGGTTGCATATGGTTCTTTCTCATGTTCAGGGTTTTGTATGTATGTGCATGTGTAACATTATGCTAAGTTGGAGGATTTTACTACTTAGATGCCTTATTGAAATACATTCTGCTTCATGCAAATTATCCCAGTAGCAGCTGCTGCTTGTCAAGCAGAGCAGAAATAATTGGGCAGAGTGAAATTCTTCCACTCTCTCTGTGATGCAGAATTTTGTTCGGCTCTGCTATAAATCATAATAGATGCTCTCGGAAATAAGTTTTCTTTGCTTAGTGCCCAGAATACTGCTTTTCACTATTACTTCTTTCTCGTGTAAAATTAAAACTTTAAAGTTCAACTGTTTTGTTATCTCCATGTGAGAAACTGGTAGTCAGAAAAGAAAATAGCATGGTTATTTGAGGGGTTGGTTGCTAAGAGCT